CCTACATAATGATGTGGCGCTGTCGACATCGACGTGTCATCGACAACCGGCAACGGTTTTGGGTGGGGTCACCATCACAGTCACCCAGTCGCAGCCTGTTGGTCAGAGATAACAGCAATTTATTTTCAAGTCATCATTTTAATTATCCCGTTCGCATAACCTTGCGTTCTGGGCGCGGCTGGCATTAAAACGTGACAACAGCAACAGCAACACATTCACAGCAGCCACCATCGCTTGGATGGCAGCCATTTTGCTCATTAAAATATAATATGTATTTTTTAATTTCAGAGAAATGTTTGCACAAAAATTTTCTCGAAACAAAGTTGCGAGCCAGCCGTTGTCTGTTCCTTTTTTCCTCCCCACCAACTTTTCCCGGGCCTTGTACATTTCCATCTTTTATTCCCTGTCTGTCTCTGGCTGCCGAAAATCCTTTTTTTGTTTCACTCTTTTTTTTCCGTTTTTCATTTCCCATTTTCCATTTGCCTAACCGAGACCCACCCACCAAGGCGTAACCCCAAAAAGAAACCCCACCATTCCACAGCCCACTCAACACAACCCCATCCGCCATCATGCGTTTTTATAACCGGAAGCGTTCATGAGAAAGTTTCCGCTTTCATAACCGAATTTTAATTAACTTTCGAAAACCTAATTACAAAGTATTATTATAATGAAAAAGCAGTGCACAAAGCGAGTGGAGAGCCGCCGAAAGGCGGATGAGGGTCCATGGGGCTCCAGTTCCACGTAGAGACGCAGCCATCCAGCCATCCAACCATCCAACCATCCAGATCCAGCCAAAGCAGCCAACCGAGTGAGTGCTGCCCCTGCAGCGACATCCACGACTACATCCTCCGTTTCTCCAGTTTCCCATCCAGTAGATTCATACACTGAGCAAAATAGCGGAACCAACTTTGGGGACTACATTTTTTTTTAGCAAGAAAGTCTTAGTCAATTGAAATACGTTTAACACTTCAGGTTATTTTATATTTCAACTATCACTACCACATTTCCTGTCATTTTCAAGGCTAATGGTAATCAAATAATTAAATAATTAAGAATTGTTTCTTTCTGGATGTATGAAAAACCACTTAAGGTCATTTTAGGAGTGGAAATGTTCAACAATCACATTAATGAATTCTAAAAAAAAAAAATTCTAAAATTATTTCCTTTTTAAATGTTGTCTGTTAAGGTAGTTTAATGAAGATGGTAGAGTTTAAGATTTTAAGATTCAAACTTGTCAACAAGTAAGGTCTTTTTTGATTTTCTATTATGTGGTAATCAAATTAATCAGTATTACTTTCCAAAGTTCAGTAAAAATTATTAAAGGTATTTTTAAGGTATAAATTAAACATTAAAAAATTAGAACATTGATATTAAAGAATTCTTGGACACATGTTAAATGGTTACATTTTAGCTACTGTTAATTTTTAGCTAAATAATTTAAGTTAATTTTGATGCGAAAATTCTTCTGTATTAGTAAAATGGTAAGTTTTAAAACAAACAACAAATAAGGACCTAAATTAACCATTCATTGTTTCTTTCTAGAAGTTAAAAAAATAGTTTAAATTAATTTTAGGGCTAGAAATGTGAGACATTCACATTAAAAAATTCCATTTCAGTTTGGATATGTCCCTTTTTCATTTGAACTTGAATGTAATACCTAACTTAACACTTAGAAAGTGAAATTTCTATAAGTGATAATAGTTAATGGCTTTAGGGACATATAGGTAGTAAAATCTTAAAGTAACCAACTTTTTATAACAGTGAACGTGCGCTGTCTTTGAGTGCCTTGGTTTACGGGGAAAACGGGAGAAGGATAAAGGAGCTCGGGGGATAGCAATGGCACTACTTCCTGTGTATCCATCCGGCATAAGCTCAGGAAAAAAGGGTTGCCCGACCACTTTTTCTACGCCGCCAAAGCAGAGAATTTCCCCCACACTTTGTGTATGCCCCAAGTTGGCTGTGTCTCGTTTTAAAATTAAATATTCCATTAGAAAATTACTACAAGATTGTGGTTCTTTATTAGCAGCAACAACAGCAGCAGCAGCTCCAGCCAGGTCTTTTGGTTGCAAACCCAACCGAATTTAACTTTGCTGCCGCAATCTCTGTTGCGGGAACAAAATGCAATTTAAACTTGATATTTTTAGTAAATTTTGTCTATGCAAATAATACGTTTTATCAAAATAACACATGCACATTCAGAGACATGCAATGACTGTCATGGAACTGTGGCATTCATCAATTTTTAATGACCAACCAAATGTCATGACAATTTTTCCTATTTTGATATTGATTCCAAATGGTTTTCGTTTGTGTGGAGGAGGCTTTAAATCGAACTTGTTTGTGAAACTAGAATTTTAAATCTGTCCTCGGCAAAAATAATTGGAAATTGATGGTGGGCGAGATATAAATATGGAATATAGCTGGGCCGCCTTGTCTACAGAGCTCAATAAACTCTAGGGCTCCCGTGTATTTCAGCGTCTTTAGAGCGCATGTCTGGCATTAAGGCATCGATATATAAACTGTGGACAGGCTCGATGGGGGTTCGAGTGGGCGGTTGGGTGGTCGTCAGTTTAGCCGAACCAACCCCAAAACACAGATTTCCTAAGCCAGCCATCCAGCCAGATGGGGTTGTTTGCCAGCCGGGGTAAAATGAAGAAACTCCGCCAGAACGCCGACAGTCACAATGTCAAGGAAAAATCGAAATTGAAGCGACAACAAACGAAGCGCCATTTTGTTGTCGCTTTTAGAGAACGAAACCCAGACTGAGAACGAGAACGAGAACGAAACCCAGACCCAAGACCCATTTTCAATACCATTCCCCAGCGACAACAAAGCGAGCTCTTTATGGAACAGCTCCAGCTCGGTTTGGAGACTATAAAAAATGTATTAAAGCCAGTACGTCGCCCACATTCCCATCTCCATCCCCTTGCATATAAATAAAATGTCGCCTTTAGATATATAGAAAATTGTGACCTTCCTGCTTAATTAAAAAGAAGAGACACCAGCTTGTCAAACATGGCTTGCAGATAAGTGAATGTCCGAGAAGAGTAGAAACCGCAGGAATCGTAGGTTCTTCCAAATGAATCACACCGATGTTAATCAACGGTGGATGGTTACTGGTCCGACGGATCAGGCTCTGTGGCTTGTTTATATTTCTGCGATAAGGTCTGCGATAGGAAAGGTACTGGTAGTCATTCTACTCCACACTTAGCAAAGTTCTATACTTGGTTTTAATAAAAGCGGACTTCCCTAGTCAAGCTCAAAATGTTCTCCATTTTGTCAAAGTTTCTTGGTTTAAAAGGATTTTGAACAAAATTAAGGAAGAATTCTTATTGTTTTCATAGAATGGGTTAAGTACTAAATATACTTAATTTTTTCTTTTAATTTTGAGAGTATGGTACTTCAACTATTAAATCTGAGTGAGAATACTACTTAAATCTTTTTTAAATTACTTTTATTTATTTTTGTACTTATTTTAAATCTTTTAATTTCAGTGCAAATAGTATCTGTTTAAAGAATTGAACTTTTACTTTTAAAAAGTATTTTAGGGTCTTGAGAACAATTTTTTCTTGATTGAAATACGGAAAATACAAACATTTTCTTTATTTAAGCACGATCACATTTGTTTAAAAGTCCTACTTAAATTTAGAGAGTTTTTTTCTGAGTGCATGAATGTTACTAGAAAGCAAACAAAATGGAATAGTGGCGGGCAGAAGACTTCCCTCCCCGATTTCGGGAAGAGATATATTGGAATAGGGGGTTGTTGGGTTGTTAGGTTGTTGGGTTGTTGGGTTGGGCTGAGATGGGTTAGTCAGTCTATGAGGTCCGGGTGTTCCACCCATCCCAACGTTGTTTACCTTCTTGTTCCGTTGCAATTTATGAGTGCACCACTGCGATAAGGGTTTATCATATAGTGGAAAACTGCACTCTGCATCTGAGTGACAGCGATAAGATAGCGTCTCCTGGAATCGCTTAGCTATCGGTCGTTCAATTCGAATTCGCTGCATTGATATAGATAGTGGTATAGTGGGATAGTAGACCAGCCAAAACCAGACCAATCAATCTATAAATGATTGTTGGAGGTCAGTTGTTTAAATCAACAACGGTGTCCCCTACGATGATTGAAAAAAATGAAAACTAATTTATGATCTTTTTTTCTTTTTTCTTGTATTTCAAACATTAAAATAGTCGATTTTGTTGTCGTTGACGTTGTGTTTGTTTTTGCATGATTTATAATAATATTAATTTTTACTAGCTTTAGAGTTGGATTTTAATTCTTGCATTGACATTTATTGAATTTTATATTGTGTATTTTACAATAATTTTCATTTGTTTCTGTGTCAGTGTGTGTGTATGTGTGTTTATATTTAGACTATTTTTTATCAAGTTTTATTAATTAGCTTAGCTCAATGTAAAAATGGGTCTTTGTTTTGTGTTTGCATTTCGGTTTATTTTTTTTTTTTGTTTTTCTTTACGCACGATATAACTAATATTAAAAATTATTGAATAATAATTGCAGTTTTTTCGCTTTTTATGTGATTTTTTTTTTTTGCCTTTTTGTGTTTTGCTTTAATTATTTATGCTAATTAAATGTTAAATGCTATACAATATTTATATTTATATTATATTTACTTTCAAGTGGTGTGGCATAATTTCATACAATTTGATTAATTCTCGAGTTAGTTAAAAGTTGTTTTGTTTTTAAGTTTTTTTTTTGTTTGGGAGAGGGTGTTGCTTAAATTTATTTATTTATAGGTTATTTACAAAATGTCTTAAACTAACGAATTCGTACAATAACAGAAGACACACAATGTAAATGAAATGCGGGATTTTGCGATATATGTATATATGTTTAAACGCGAATTTGATAAACTACTCAATAAAAAAACATGTCGTTTTGCATGGCCAGATTTTTGTTTGCTTAGTTTGCTTAGTTTGAAGATTCTTAGGGTGTTTTGGTTGCTGGACTGCTGATGATTTAGATTTTCGATTTCTTTTTGGTTTTGATCATTTGCGATTCGAATTCGATTGCGATTGCGATTTGCCTTTGGATAAAGGATTATAGTATTTGTATCTCTCTTTTTGGGACTGTTTTAGTTAGGTTTTGCATTCTGAAAGAACATTACACACGATCCCCACTCTTCACCTCTCAGTGTTACATTTAAAATGTTTCAATTTGTAGTTTTAACCGCTTTGATTGTTATTGCTTGTTTCGAAACAACGAAAACAAATGGCACGGAATTATTATTTTGTGTTAGCAAAACGTAAAAAATGTTAACAAAAGTTCTGCTGCATCTGCTTACAACTACATCACTTTTTCTTTCGCTTTTCTGTCGATTAACTAACCGATATCTGTATAAACCCCCGGTAACAGAACTGAATGGTTGTTATTTTGTGGCTGGAACTCAGGGAACTCGGGAAACTCAGAGAACTCAGGGAAAGGCATATGTACAAGAGCGAGTCGCGGCCTGAAACTCACGTGCTCAAAGGATCTCGACCAGGTCCTAAAAGCCACTGGCCCTGCGCTCGCTAATTGGCCATGGTCGCTATGGCTACAGCTATAGCTACAGCAGATTCTGCAGGGCGGCGGCCCCATTGAAAGCCAGGCTGTGATTCCAGTTTCGGTAGCCAGCCGCTGCGGCATATTGCTGGTAGTTGTTGTACAACTGCTGCTGTGCCGCCTGGTGTTGCTGCAGTTGCTCCTCGCTCAGATCGCTGGTGATGTTCGAGGAGTCCTCCTGTTGCAGCTCCTGCAGCAATTGCTGCTGCTGCTGGTGTTGCTGGTGTTGCTGCTGCTGCTGGGCCTGCTGTTGCTGTTGTTGTTGCTGCTGCTGCTGCTGCTGTTGATGTTGCAGTTTCTGTGAGTAGTTGGAGCTGGAGCCTGATCCCGATCCCGATCCCGAGCCCGCTTTACCGCTGGCCTTGGCTGCTGCTGATGCTGCTGCTGCTGATGTTGCTGGTGTGTTGGAAGCGGATGCCAGTTGCTGCGCCGCCTGCTGCTGCTGCTGTTGCTGCTGCAGCTGCTGCTGTTGCAAGTGCTGTTGCTGCTGCTGGTGCTGCTGCTGCTGCAAGTGCTGCTGCTGCTGGTGCTGCTGCTGCTGCTGCGAGCGCAGCATCTGCTCCGCGCGTCCTTAAGCCAGCGGGTATTGGTGATGTCACAAGCTTGTGGTGCCGGCGGGCGCATGGTAGCCGAGACTCTGGTAGTAGGAGTCCTGGCCTAAGGCAGCGTGTGAGTTGGTCAGCGGACTGAGCGCGTTGTAGCCGGCGTACTGGCTCATGTCGTACATCTTGATGTCCGCCTTCGACTCCGTGGGCAGCAGGCGGTTGATGGAGAAGGGGTGGCTGGAGGGCGTGTAGCCGGAGGGCTCCTGCTTCAGCGGATGCATCGACGAGTGGTAGTCGCTGATCAGCGACGGATGGCACCTTTGGGCCATCATGGCGGACAGCTCCTCCTGCTGCAGCTGGTGGTGCTGGTGGTGGTGGTGGCTGGGCACGTGCTGCGGCTGCTGGCTGAGGCACAGCTCCGCATTGGCATGCAGCATGGCCAGTGCCTCCGCATCCTTGCTGTGCGCCGCACTCAGCACATTCACACCCGCAATGGGGGCCTCCTTGTGGTGCTGGTGGTGGTCCAGCCGGCTGTGATGGTGATGGTGCATGTGGTGCGAGTCCTCGTGGTCCTTCTTACCCGGACTGGTGGCCTCCAAGCTGCTGTGCGACGGACTCTTGTGCAGCTGCCGGATGGCCTCCTTCTTCTCGTCCTTGAAGCGCTTCTGCCGCCTCAGATAGCAGCCGTTCTCGAACATGTTGCCCGAGTCCGGGTGCAGCGTCCAGAAGGAGCCCTTGCCCGGCTTGTCCGGCGTCCGCGGGATCTTCACAAAGCAATCGTTGAAGCTCAACGAATGCCGGATGGAGTTCTGCCAGCGCTGCTGGTTCTGCCTGTAGAACGGAAACAGGTCCATGATGAACTGGTAGATCTCCGACAGCGTCAGCATCCGCGTGGGATTGTTCTGTATGGCCATGGTGATCAGCGAAATGTAGCTGTACGGCGGCTTGGCATGCGTGTAGCTCCTCCTGTACGTGGTGGGCTTGTCCACCCGTGATCTGCCCAGCGAATTGGGGCTGCCTGTCTCCATTTCCCGCGTGCCCGGCGGCATTGCTCCATAGCTGCCGCTCAGCCCCGCCGCCGACATGGCCATGCAGCCGCCCATGTTCCCCAGCGGCGATCCCATGCTGGCATAGCTCATCGAACTGGGCGTCATACAGTTGCCGCCCATCGAGTTCATGGCCGCCGCCGCACCCATGCTGCCATTCATGCTGGCATTCATGCTAGCACTCATACTAGCACTCATACTAGCACTCATACTGGCGCTCATGCTGGCCACCGCCGCTGCGGAATCCAGGACGCTGGAGCTGAAGGTGGCCGCCGCTTGGGGGGAAACGGACGACATGCCGCCCACCGGCAGACCCATGCTGTTCATTGTGTAGGCGGAGCGGGCCAGCGGACTCATGCTGCCTCCGTTGCTGGTGGGATTTGGATTGTTGTTGCTAGGCGGTGGCGGACCACCTCCTCCTCCTCCTCCTCCTCCTCCTCCGCCCCCTCCCCCTCCCGAGGGAGGGCCACTGGCCATGCTCACCGGAGCACTGCTGGGCGGCGGCTCCGCGTAGAGCTTCTGCATGATGTCAATGGTGGTCTGGTGGGGGCTACCCTTCAGAAAGCTGTTCAATAGTTGCGCCGTTATGTTGCCGGCTTTTGGACGCGCTGCCCTCTGGTCAAACGTTTAAAAAGGCAACGCGTTTGTGTCAAACGCGTTATTGAAAACGAAAAATGAATAAAAAATGTTCGTGTATTTTATGTTGTTTTTTCTTCTGTTGTTTTTGTTATTCGATTCAAACAAATATCAATGCACTAACACTGCTTTAAAGGTTTGGCATTTTTCTGGCATTTTATATAGCACTTGTCACTGGTTCAACGAAAGTTTAGATATTATATTTGTTATTTGCGATTATATATATTTGATTTGATTTGATTTGATTTTCTTTTCTATTTTTGTTGTCTGCCGCACGGCGCGGCCACAAAACACCGACGCACGAACGTGGATATTTAACTGAAGTCTGAAGCTGGGAATTGGAATTGGGAGCTGCAGCTGGATTGCTGTTGCTAATGTTGCTGCTGTTGCTGATGTTGCTGATGTTGCTGCTGCTGCTGCGGCTGCTGCTATTGCTGCTGCGGCTGCTGCTGGTGCTGTTGGTCCGCTCGAGTGTCTCTTTGGCTTGAGCTCTTGAATGTGACTGTTTGCAGAGGGGAACGCTTGTCTACTATTTGGCTTGCGCTTGCTGCCAACAAATATTGTTCGAGCCGCGCTCAAGTGTCTGCGCTGGCAGCGACGTCGACCGAAGCAGCGACTGCGGCGGCAGCAGCAGCAGCAACAACAACCGACTCGTTCTCGCCAATGGCCCAGTGGATAGGCCATCTCACCACTTTCGACCGGCGGCTTTGCCAATGAAATTCAGGGGTTCTCTTACGTACACAGTGCTGTGGCGACGCAAGCGCATTGGTCGAGCGGCCTCTTGTATCAACAGAGCACGGCCGGTTGCCAGGCAACTAAACCGAAAACAGGGGGCGTGGCCAGCGTCAGCCAGCGAGCAACGCCCTCCACTCACACACCCTTAAAAGATACGGATACGGCTACAGATACAGATACAGATACAAATACAGATAGAGCTGGCAGAGATACAGATACAAATACATTGGCTAATGCTGAGCGACGCCATGTTACAGTTAACGATTTTCCCTAATGCGATCAATAATCGCTCGCTCTCTTTTCAGTAACCGAATGTAAGAAAATAAAATTACAAAAAAAAAATTGAGGGAAAAATAAAAGATAGATTCTGGAGACGAACGCTTTGTTTTGCCAGAGAAACCAAAAGCCCACCTTGGCTCCCAAAGAAGACATTTAATGTGTATGTGTGTGTGTGTGTGTGTGTGTGTGGTGTGTCAGTGTTTTTTGCGTTCGTTTGGCTGCTTTTTTGTGCTGAGGTTAAGGCATAGTATGTTACTCCCAATGTCACTCTCATTCATTCCCATTCGCATTCGCATTCGTGGCGAGGCATCGCGACCGGCAGCAGCGCAGTTCTCCTTTTTGGCAAGTCATTGCGAAAGTGACCCAGTTTCAGCGGGCGGTCAACACCAGCTCATCATCTCAGCCTCAGCCTCAGCCTCACCTACTAACTGCATCACATCCACATCCTACCTGAAATACCCTGCCAGAATCTGCAATATCAACAGTTCATTGATAGCGCGTGCTGGCGGTTACTTCCTGGTACTGGTACTGCTACTACTACCGTGCATCTCCACGTTTATGGCCACGGATAAAACGCATTTTAATTTCGGCCATAAAACCAGACGCCTTTCATTGTGCATCTTCTCCGCTTAACCCTTTCGCCCGGCCAAGTGTATTTGTGTATCTGTGTGTGTCGTATTTGTGTGTGCTTGTGTTTGGTTGTGTGTGTGTGTGGTCCTGAGCCAGGTTCATTATTACGGCCATAAACGAACAATTGTCTCGTTTCTCAATGAAAGTTTTTACTCAATTAAGATCTACCTGAGTGGGAGGGAATGCGCGGAATTTCCGCATTACGTTTCGTTTTGTCAATGCAGCAATTCCATTTCCTCTCACATTTTGAAAGTCTACATCTAGGCGCATGGTCTATGAATTCATTTAAATGTTTAGAAACATCTTTACTGGGCTATATTCATTTAATTTTAATAAATGTATACCTTTATAAATGTGTATTTCTGAGTACAGTTGAGTTCAACTAACCCAAAGTAATAGTTAGTCATAGAATTATACAAGTTTCAGTCACTTATTGCTCGTAGTATTTATCTTTGAAAAACTGCGCTTCCTGAAAATAAAATCCAATTTCTGAGGAGTATTTAAGCTAAGAAAGATTGAGCTGAATATATTCAAATAGATTTACATAAGTAATCACATGATAAATCACCGTGTAATGATTCACTTTCGTTTTACATCATTCTCATTATCAGTTTTAAGATAAGGTAAAAAGATAAATGTAAATGATTCAGAAACAATTGCCTTTAAAGTCTCAATCAATTTCAGGAATCCCAAATTTATACCAAATTTTCAGCTTTGGCCATTTGGCTAACTACATGTATTCCATCATCATGATTATTATTATTTTACTATTACTTAAAACAAGCTTATAAAGATGATTCACTTTAAAAATCACAGTAAATTTTTAGGAACCCCAAAACTCTCCATAATTAGCTGCCTTCAACTTTGTATGCCCTGCCATTCGGATATCTATATCCCATCATTGTGATCATTAAACACCAAACACTTTTGGCGACTGAGCACACATTTGTACTTAAATCTTTATGTGCACTTCTAATAACCGTAATGTGCTTAAATATTTAATATTTTTATTGTATTTCACAGGCAATTCAAGTGGCTTTGGCTCATTAATGTTTGTGTTCGGTGTGGGCGGGCGCATCCAAATGTGTGTGCTTTTTTTTGGCGTAGACTCTCTGCAAATAGTAATGCCAGGCAGTCCAAAAATTGTGTATTTATTTACCTTTTAGTCATTTATCTATTTATTTATTTGCTTTAAAAGCGCGCCACTGTAGGTCGGATCCGTTGCCGTTTCGGTTGGGTTTCTGCAGCGGTACGATTTGATTCAGTTGGTTCGGCTGCTCTCGGCTCTAAGCCCTGCTCAAACTTTTTAATTAGTTTCAATTGTTTGGCGCCCACCCCGAAAAAACACCTACATGCATACCCAAAATGGATATTTATGGATAGTATTTGCTCTTCCACTTTTTTCCCGCTGTTGTTTTGATTTTGTTGCTGTTGATATGGCTTTAAAATGCGCTTTCTGTTTGTTTTAAGCGTTTTTGTGTGACGCATGCGCCGTGTGGCAATGACTTTACGAAAACACATATATCTATCAAAGCATTTGACCAACATTTCTCAGATAGATGACGTATCTATATCGGTGTATGGCCATAATATGTATAATATTTATTTTTATTGTTATTATTTGCTATTGTTGATTTATTTGTTTGTACAATATTTTCACACAAATTAAAATACCAGACCATCGCACATTGGAAATCGGACATCGGTCGACGAGCATCAATGTCGTTTAAACGATTTTTCGCTGTTTTATTTGTTTTGTATTTTTTTTTTTTTTTGTTTTACCCAATTATTGGGGCTTATTAGAGATTATTTAATCGTTTGCAACAACAGCAAATGATCACAATGTTCTAATATGCAGTTAAAACAAATCGAGATCTTGCAGTCGTTCTGTGAAAACTCAACGTTAAGAGTTTTTTTTTGGTATAATTAAATTATGCTACTCATTAAACATTAAATAAGAAATGCAAAAAGAAGGTGGGATTTTCCATTAATAAAAAAACTGGCAATATTTTGTTTATCTCATTTAAAAACCACATGTGTTGTTAAGCCGGTTTTGGTTAGCAGTTAAATCTTTAAAAAGAGCCGTATTTTTTACTAATTATTGATTCATTAATTTAACAGAGAGAAGTAAGTTTTAAAATTGATTGGTATCAACATTTCCATAATATTGATTAGATAAAAGTAAGTTTTAATGGTAGAATATTTGTTCTTTGTTGATTTCGTGCCTTCATTATTTTCTTAAATACTTTTACGTTACATGATTTCTTTTTTTCAGAAACAACATAGCAAAGAATCGTATTATATTCAATTCTATTTAGAACTTCATCGGATATTGTTCTTATTATAATATTAGTTTTAAGTGTATTGAATAAAATGATTAAATAAATACGAGCTACTCAATCTTTTAAATTGAGACTTAAATACTTTCCAAACTAATATATATTTTATATTTTATAATACGTAAACTACATTCCGCAAATTAAAACAATTTCAAAAGCAAACAACATATTGTTGTTTAAGATAAGAAAAATATTATTCTCTTCCGATTCTTATGTTTAATTTTCATTTGCAGAGTTTTATTGGGCATTGAGAATTTGAGGTGTATCTGCCGGGTATTTCTCCATGGGTCTATGAATTGGTATCCGTATCTCTGTGGCTGCGTGTGCATTTGTATATGTATCTGTAGATAGGTCTTTGTACTGCGTGTGCCTTAATGAGCGTTACCATAAAAGCGTCTTTTGTTTTACGACCGCATTGCGCGCGTGTTTACCGTAGAAAACAATGCCAATTTTATGGCCCGGCAGAACCGCATCCCGGCAGTCCAGCATCCGATACTATGCTCTATATATATATATATACAGTACTTAGTATACCTAACCCAAAGGTGACAGCGAAACTAGAGCAATCGGGTCGAAAAAGGGACGCTGCGTTAATTAGGTTTAAGGATCGCGGTGGAATGTGGATTGTATTACTTTCTTCGGGGCTATAAAACTCGGGGAATGGACTCAACTGGCGGCTCTTATCTAAATTAGGATGTTGCTTGTTTGCGGCTGTGTCTGCACATCGCCTGCACTATTTGCGTAGGTGTTTCATTTCCGTTTCACAATTTATCTGGCAGCGCACCTTTTCGCCGCCTAAAGATTTTCCATTTCCCTTACTTTCACATGTGATTTTCTTTGTTGTCTTATCAGTTTTTGGCGCGTCAGCCGTCGTCGTCGTCGTCGTTTTCGTCATCGTGATTCACATTTTCCTCGTACTGTTTGCACTCGAAACTGCACTTTCAAAAGGCGCTAAAGACGATGCAGTTTTTCAAGTCGAGTCGAGTTGAGTTAAGTTGAGGGAATTTGGCGCATTTCGGGGTGCGTGCCTTATCGGAGCCACTACGATATCGCATAAATCACAGCCTAGTCGCGCTTTTGCTTGATTATTTCCATTTTTATCTATAGTATTTCGCTGCGGTCTCGGCTATAAAGTTTCTGGTTTTTATCTTTGTGCAAACACGGGAAAGCAGCGCCATTAAGGCCCTGGCGACCTTATTTCCTCTGGCCCCAAGAAAACAGCGAATTCTATTCTTTTAATTAAAAAAGACCGAAGGCAGGAAAGAGCCCCCTACCCCAAAATCCAAACATTGAGGTCAGCATGGCAACATGGAATTTAACGATAAAGGTATAAGGGTTTTAAATCGATTAAAGACCGTACTTACAGAATCTTAAAATTTAAGAATCTTATAAATTAAGATTATTAGATTTTAACCTTTTGCCCCAAAATACTTTAAAAATGTTTTGAATTCTTTCGTTCATATAGTTAAATATACAATTTTAAACATTGTTATTTATACCATTTAAAATCCTGAGAAAAATATTATAAGTTTAATGTTGGCAAG